ATTCCCTTAGTTGAAACCTTCGCTCTGATACCACGTTGTCACGTCCTTAGTTGTTAACTAAGTACACGTGCGGCACTTGACAACTCGCTCACGATCTTGCACAACTTGCTCATGTTCTTGCTATGTCAAGTCAGCCTTACTACACTCAAGATCGCTAAGAGAATGGAAGAAAGAACACAAGAGAATTGTTAAAGGAAGTTTCGTATTAGAGATAACTTGAATTATTTGCTTGATGAATTACAAATGAATGACCCCCTTTATATACTGCTCTCCTAGGGGCTAGTGTGTAAATATTAATTATTACACAAGTCCTTGATATTTATAAGATAAATGCTTTTTCTAGAATTCTCTACAAGCCTAGAAGATTCCAAAGACTTTTCTAGCAAATCCATAAGGATCTAGGTTGTTCCTAAGGAAATATCCATACCTCTGTAGAATCTTCTCACAAATGCTAGCCTTTTTCTTATGTAAGCTTTCACATGTCATTAATATATGCCAAATGGCACCTATGTGGCATGATGACATGGCGGGTCATCACATTGAAGTCAGCTCTACTATCAAAAACCCAAACAGCTAGGGAGAATTGCTTTTAACCACGCAAAATAAATTATGTGTTACTGACTAATTTACATGGACGTATTCTAGAAAGACTCATTTTTTTTTTTTTTAATTTAAAAAATTATTTTTCTATTGTACCGTTAAACCTAAAGTCTTAAGTAGTGGTTAAAAAGGGTCTTTTTTTTGAAAGGGTCAGTTCACTTATTGATATGACATTATTATTTATTTTCTACCATGAACGATGACAAATTGATCCCATTCAGTAATTGAAGAAGGAATTAAATTAATGAAGCTCTTCTGCAAAATACCTGGCTTACTAAAAACCAGCAATTTATGGCCAAATGACAGAAGAATCTGTTTTCTTGAGAGTTCCAAGGAATTTTGTGGCTGACATCCTCTGAGCGTTCATATGCAAGAACATATATATAAGTTTACATAGCACTATTATCAGCATTTTATATTTCTCCAAAACCAGTCAGCAGAAACAACCAATAGTCTGCGTGTTGAAGACAAATTTAAGAGTGGTCTCTCTAATGACTTAAACTATTAGATGAGATGATCACAAACTTTAACATGGTATTAGAGTAAGCATAGATTCTGGGTTCGAGTTTCACAAAGACTTTTCCATATGTTTGGCTCATAAAAAAGAATCAAGTCCAACCACGATGGGTGTGTTGAAGACAAATTTAAGAGTAAATAAATATATGTTCTCTCTAACAATTTAAGTTTTGAGATGAGATGATGGTAGATCAATACTGCGATATGGTCTTTGCATTTATGAATGAAACCTTCAGGAGTAGGATTTAACTTATATGTTTGACCTTACCTGTTTTAGTGTGTTACATGCTTTATCTTTCATGTGTTAATGATGATAGACTATAATTAGGTATTTTAGTCGCTCATTACATTCTAATGTACTGCATTTTAATTGAGTTTGAGCTTTAATCGCTAGTGTTTTGCACTAATTGTGTATTCTATGCCTTACAGGAGTGATTCCGAGTTATGTAGATATTATGGAATGAATTCAAGTGATTTGAAGCTTTGAAGTCTGAGTAAAACCCCAAAGAATTAAGCCGGAATCGTGTTCGGGGATCAGCGGATGATAGTTCAGAATGAAACAAAGAATCGAGCGGGCATGCGGCGCATTGTCTAGTAAAATGCATATAACTTTTCGCTCAGAACTCTGTTTGGGCTCCACAATATATCGTTGGAAAACTATTTGAAAGGGCTACAACTTTCGTGTTTTGCCTTTTTGGGAATTCCCATTACCTAGGCGCATAGTGCGGCGCACCGTGCGCCGCGCCTGTGGAAATTTTCTGCAGCCTGTCAGAATCAACTCTCTGAACTTACCCACAAGCACACCACGTGCGGCACGCCTATGCAAGTTTTACAGAGCCAAAGTCCTATTTCGCGCGGGAGAAGGTATTTTCATGTAGTCTCGACCCTACTTGTTATAAATACATGTAAAACACTATTTTAAGGAGGAGGACATACTTTTGACATAATTTAGACCTAAGGAGGCTAAAAAGACCGGAGATTCGACCTAAGGAGGCAAGAACATACTAGGAGACACGTATGATCAGATCATTATTTTCAAGGTAGACACGATTGGATCAACAAATTTTTAACATGACTGACTATAATAACTAGCTACTGCTAGTCAAATAACCAAGAGAAAAGATGCAATATTTTGAGCAGACACGTACTTATTTAGAGTTCTCCAACAAACACATTAATCACCAGGTCTCTCTTTCAAGAAAATTTACAATGTCAAACGAAATGTACAAAAATATTTATTAATCCCTAGGGTACCTAGGCTCATTAAGTGCACCTTCTTCAAGCAAAGTGCCATGTTGATGACCTTCATTGTTGGAAACAACTAGAGGAGGGAAGGGAAACACCAAATTGTTCATAT